GACGGGGTTTCACCATGTTGACCAGGATGGTCTTGATCTCTTGACCTCGTGATCCACCCGCCTCGGCCTCCCAAAGTGCTGGGATTACAGGCGTGAGCCACCGCGCCCGGCCAAAAACAAAAAATCTTGATCCTTCGTCATCCTTCCTCCTTCCTCCCTGTCAAGGTCAACCTTTCCAAAAGCATTCTACAACCTGTCCCCATCTCTATATCTCCCTTATCTCCAAACTATTGTTTGGAGCATTCCACCAAACAGCTTTCACTGAGATAATCAGTGACCTCTGTGTTACGAAATTTAAACATTTCTCAGGCTTCGTCCTCCTTAGGAATGGACTACTTCCTTTTGAAGCACTTTCTTTTCTTGATTTCCAGCACTTTATTCTTAGAGGTGTGTGGAAAGGTTCCTGCAGCAAATGGTTTACAATAATCACCCATCTGCTTAAAACCCTTCCATAGCTTTCAGAGCCTATAGTACAAAGTGGTCCAAAATTCCAAGACCTTCCAAAATCTAGCCATTGTTGGCCTTTTAAAGCTTTCTTCCCTCTACACTCGGGGATGTACGATTAGCACTAAGCCTTTAACAAGGATACAGTACTAGAAACTTCCAAAATGCGTTATGTTGTTCTTGACACCAGTTGTTCCCCAGAACCTGGGAAACTCTAGCTCCTTTTCTGCCGGATTTCCGGGGAACTCCTACTTATCCTTCATGACTCAAGTCACTTCCTCCGGGAACCCTTCCAGACACCCCTAAGAATGAAACGCTTTGTTTATTACCAGCCAAAGACGCCTCGGATTTTCTATGTACTATGCACTGTATTCCATCCACTATAATTTGTTTACATATCTATATCTTAGTCTAGACAGATTGAAAGGCGCTGAAGGGCAGAGAAAGCTTTCTATTCGCTTTCTTTTCCTTAGCGTTCATCTGGCACACGGTTTGCCCTCAGTAAATGTTTATTGGATGAACACCTCTCAGCCTCGGGCAGGACGGAAGTCTATCCGGTTAACTGGTGAATTCCCAGGCTCTCCGCCACCGTGGCAGGGAGATTTAAACCCCCAGCACCGTGATTGGCTCCAGCTGCAGGGGTGTGTTCGCGTCCGCGGTGCACGGGAAGTGCGCAGGCGCGCGGCCTGGGCGCGCGCAGGCGCGACAAGGGCGCCGCGCCGGGTCCGGTGTTAGGGTGTCGGACTTACAGCGGCCGGAGCGGAGTGGCTTCACCCGCTTGGTGAGTCTCTAGGAGTGGGATGGAGGGAGCTGACCGGGATGAAGTCTGAGAGTATATCGTATTGGTTGAAAAGTTGGTGGGGTCAGGCTTAAGCGGACGAGGGGGCGCCCTGGCCCTTACTCGGCAGATGGGCCCGAAGCTAGGAGGGGAGGCGCCGGGAGAACCTCGAGGAGCCAGTGGAGGAAGGGTGGCTGGATGGTGGTTCCCTGGACCCTTCCTCGAAATTAAACAGAGATCACCTCTTGCCCCTCACCCCTACTGTGCTGCTGTGGTTGACATTAGTAGACTGCATGTATGGTGACCACGGTGATCAGATAGCTCTAAGATAATGGTTTGAGGAAGGACTCTGAGGTTCCTGGTATTGGATAGTCCTTGCTCTCTAGAAAGGCTCACCCTTACCTCGCGGCTTTACTGCACAAATAAGAGGATCAGTAAAATAATGAATTTCACAATTTGGGATTGGAGTGGTGGGAGGGAAAAGTAAAGTGTTTTTTCACCTCGTTCTTTTTTTCTTCTTTAATCATTAGTCACCACAATGTTAGGAAAGGCAGTTGATGGGAGGAAACGTAAAGACAAAAGTTGGGGAGAAAAAGGGCAAGAAGGGAGTGTCCTTTTGCCTTTTGCTATTTGTCATCTCCTGGAATGGAGTCTGTATTAGTCCATTCTCACAGGGCTGCAAAGAAGAACCCGAGGCCGGGCGCGGTGGCTCACGCCTGTAATCCCAGCACTTTGGGAGGCGAGGTGGTAGGATCACTTGAGGTTAGGAGTTCGGGACCAGCCTGGCCAACATGATGAAACCCCATCTCTACTAAAAATACAAAAATTAGCCTGGCATGGTGGCTGGCGCTTGTAATCCCAGCTACTCAGGAGGCTGAGGCAGGAGAATCACTTGAACATGGGAGGCGGAGGTTGCAGTGAAGGGAGATGATGCCACTGCACTCCAGCATGGGAGACAGACTCAGACTCGGAAAAAAAAATAATAATAATACCCAAACTGGGTAATTTATAAAGGAAAGAGGTTTGATCAACTCACAGTTCTGCCTGGCTGGGGAGGCCTCAGGAAACTTATCATCGTGGTGGAAGGCAAAGGAGAAGCGAGTACCTTCTTCACAAGATGTCAGGAGAGAGTGAAGGAGGAAGAGACCCTTATAAAACCATTATATCTCTTTTTTTTTTTTTTTTTTT